TAAATACCAAATAGTTTCTCTGGCATGAGAAACTAGAAGCCTAAATAAGGTTCAAAAGGCATAATGAATATTGTGAAATAGGAAGAAACAGTCCAAAGGGGAAGGGGAAATGGGAGGTATTGGAGAAAGGAAAGAAGGAAATGGAATCAATATGAGAAAAATAATGGAAACAAAGTGTGTAAAGAGGGAGGGGTGGAGGGATTGAAGGGAAGGCAGGGAATGGGCAAAAAAATAAGAACCAAGATACATTATGTACATGTAGAAACTTCCAATGATGAGTGTCATTATATTGTATACCTAGAATGCACCAGTAAAATTAATTTTTAAAAAACGTTGGAGAGAGGCATCAGAAGACTGTTGAAGCTATTGTTTTTATGACTAATTATGTCAGATAATGATGCTGAGGAATGAGGTGTTGCAGGTTAGTGTTAGGACTTGGTAGGTTGTCTTCATCATTTTGGTGTCATTATATTCTTATCAGCAAATGTGATCTGATACTTTTGGGTGAACAGGAGAAATTTTCTCTTCTTTAGCTTCATAAATGTATTTGTATTGCTCCAAAGAGACATTGGTCTATTTTTTAAAGCCTTTGTCCTATTGCCATCATGGTTAAGGACCTCATTTACATTTGCATTTTACATTGCCAAAACTTTCTTTAAGTTGGTGTCATCTAATGGGTTGGCTGGCTGATCTCTAGATTTTTTTATCTGCAAACTCTTCCTCAGATTGGCACTGCACATCCAGCTATGGAAATTTGGTGGTTGTCATTGTTTAGCCTGAGATTGCAGAACTCTCCATTTCATTAAATGGAATTTTATTCAGACTTTGAAAGGAGGGAAATTCTAACAGATGAGACAACACAGATGAACCTTGAAGATATGCTACAAGAAAAATAAGCAAAATGCAAAAGGACAAATTATATACTTCCAATTATATGAAGTATTTAAGGTAGTTGAAGTAATAGAGAAATTATCAGGGGCTGAGTGAAGGGAGTAATGGAGTGTAATTATAGAATTTCAGCTTAGGATAATGAAAACACTCTGAAGGTGAATAGTAGTGATGGCTGCAAAATAATGTCAGAGTATTTAATGGCACTGAATTATACAATGACAAAGATTAAAATAGCAAATTTTCTGTTACATGTACTTGACACAATTTTTAAAGAAAGGATACCATTTGTATAAGATGGATAAATAGCCCACTAGAGGAAAGAACAAAGGAACATAATCATGCAAACATGGTATTTGAAGAGACACAAAAATCTGTAGGAAAAAGGGTGAACTATACAAAAGAAAAATGATGCCCAAGTGGATTTTTCTATGGTAAAAGGTAAAAGTAGATTCCCACGTCACATCCCACACAAAGTGAACTGCAGATGAGTGACACTATTAAACCATGAAGGCCAAACTTTAAAAAAGTATAATGATAGCTATATGATTATCTGTGGAAAAGATTTCTTCCTAGAGCTGCTGAAACAAAGTATTACAATCCAAAGGTGGCTTTAAACAACAGAAATTCATCATCTTACACTTCTGGAGCCAGATGTCTAAGTTAATCAGGGCCCTTGTAGGATTATACCTCATCTGAGATTCTGGGTGGAATCTTTCTTTGTGTCCTCCTAGCTGCTGCTGCTGATCAACCATCCTTGGTTCTTTAGTTTACACCTGCACACTTTAATCTCTGTCTGTTGGCCCTGATGTTCTATCTGTGTGTCTGTTCTCTGCATCTGATTTTCTCTCTTCTTGGAAGGCCAACTTTCGTACTGCATTAAGGAGCCATCCAATTCCACTGTGACTTCATCTTAATCAATTACAACCCTTTGCATTTATTTTTAAATGACATGCTCGTATTTCTAGTACCATTTCTTTTCCACAAAATTGAAGTGTGTGAGAAAATCCCTCAAAGCACTGTACAATATGGACTCCCATTTGTACAGTGTGTATGTGTGTGTGTGTGTGTGTGTGTGTCTGTGTGTGGTCTTCAGTGGAGATCTCTACTACGTTGCTTAGGTTGGTCTCAAACTTCTCAATTTCTCAGCTTGCTGAGTGCTGATTTGCAACAGCGGCACTTCCAAATAAAGTTATATTCTGAGGTACTGTGAAGGAGAACTTCACTTTATCTCTTTTGGGAGACACAGTTCAACCCACAATAAAAACATGAACCTTGAGGGGAATAATTAATGCATCTGAGCATAACAAGCAAAAAACAATTTCTTTCTCCTGTAGGATGTATCAGAGAAAAGATATACCAAACAAGAGATCAGAAATCTCTCCCCCATTTCAGTAGTGATATTGTAAAATAAACATGCATACATGCAAACAAAAACAATATATTTAATATATTCATTTTATTGAAAAGCTCATATATACCTTACAATTGCAGTATAAAAAATAAGTAAAAATTAGTTCTTAATTTTTTTTTTTTTTTTTTTTTTTTTTTAGACAGGGTCTCACTATGTAGTTAAGAATGACCTGGAACTCACTATGTAGCCCAGGCTGGTCTCGAATTCACAGCGAATCCTCCTGCCTCAGCCTCCCAAGTGCTGGGATTAGAGGCATACGCCACCACGCCCAACTAATTAGTTCTTAGTTTTAAATCTTACTTTAAAACATTCTTCTCTGCTTTGAATTCTTAAAACTCAATATATTCCTTCTCTGTTATTTCCATAATGATTGGTAGTTATTCATTTGGACATTATTTACAAATACGTTTTGTGTATTTTTGTATTTACAAATATATTTTACACAAATTATATTTTGTACATAATACATTCAGGTACTGGAAATACAGTTGTAATCAAGATTAAGTCTGTCCTGGTATCAAAATGTTCTCCTGAGAGAAGACAGTCTTTCAATAACAGGGTGACAATTTTTTAGTATGTACATTTTTTTTGGGGGGGGATCGAACTCAGATCCTTGTGCTTGTGAGGCAGGCCACCGAACCACTTAGCTAAATCCCCGGCCCTAGTATGTACATTTTATTAATGTTATGGAAAAATAAAGTAGAGGGAAAGGCATTCGGAAGAGGCCAGCTGTCTGTAGTAGTACTTTGTAAAATTAAATTCAAATGAACCTTTTTAAAAAAACATGTAGGTGGGCCAGGGATTTAGCTCAGTGGCACCAGGCCTGGCTGGCAAGTGTAAGGTCCTGAGTTTGATCCTTCTTACCCCCACAAAATAAAAAATTAAAAAATAATAAAAAATTTAAAAAGACCTAGGTGACCAAAGCATATTATAGCTGCTTTGCACCTATAATGAAAGACCTGACACAGGCTACGTAAGAGGTGAAGGGAGGTATATTTTGGCTTATGGCTCTGGTGTTCCAGTTCAAAGTCTAGAGGTCTTATAGCTGTGGGTTCTGGCATAGGTGTCACATCATGGCAGGAGCGAGTAGTCACTTTTAGAGCCAGGAAAGGCTGGAAGAGAGACACTGGGGTCCCCCCAGCGCCGAAAGACTTCCCAATACCACCACCCTGGGAAACAAGCCTTTGCCTATAGACTTTTGGAAAATATTCATTTAAACAATAGCACACATTTAAATGACCCTCTTGGCAGACAACCATGGATAAATTATGCTGTGGCACAGAGTTTCATTTTGGGGTGATAGAAGTGGATGGTGGTGGCAGGTTCCCAACAGTGGGAAATACTTAATGCCACTGAGCTGTGCATTTCAAATGGCAAAAATAGGGGCTGGGATTTAGCTCAGTGGTTCTGCCACCTGCCTTGCAAGCACAAGGACCTGAGTTTGATCCCAGGGATCAAAACAAAACAAAGCAAAACGAAAAAAATGAAATGGCGAAAATGGCAAATGTTATGCACATTTTACCACAATAGACCCTGTTTAATGCCTGCTTAACTTTTGGAATGAGAATACACAAAAAATGAACAGCAATTAGAGGTTAGACAACTCCACCTCCCAACATGCTAGACTAAATATAGGAGCAAAAAATGCCTTGTATTCTGATTTGGGAAGATAAAAATAATTAATGTTTTTTGGTCTGATCAAAATAAATGATACAACTTTAAGCCAATAAATATGAAGTATTGATGTTCAGTGTGGGGAGAATCACAACATTTGGTTCTTTTCTGCTCATGTGATCATCTTTTCCACTTTCCCACTTCTTCCCCTGCTCAGATGAGGCTAATCAGATGTGATGATTAGCTGACCACTCATCACAGAATCGTTTAGCAAAAATATTTCCGGTGCTTTTGGCCAGCCTGAAGTTTGGAAGTGAGAAGCTCAAAGCCCTTCAGAATTAGCTCTTCCTGGATCCCTGAACATAACCTTGTTATTTATTTCTTGAATTAGATGAAAGTACTTTGAAGAAGGCAATTTTCTTATTTCCACCAAATCCAGGTGTAGGAGAAAATCCTACAAGGTATCGCACAGTATAGGTTCCCCTGTGGACATGCATATCTTCTTTTTTGGTCTTGAGATGATGTCTTTTCGTATTGCTCAGCCTGATCTCAAACTCCTGGACGCCTATTTCAGCCTCCCAAGTGCACACCAGCACAATGCGGTGGCTACACTGGACGCCTCGATGGAGGATCTCCTCCTGGATGGGGCTATTTTAGGGGTGCTCTTTTTCTTTCAACGTGCGAACATTCCTGAAGCTACACCACTGTGGTGACTGTTTAAGAGATAGGTTATTGCTCAGTCCCTGGAATTCTGTTGCATAAATGTTTGAAATCTGTGAATCGTTTCTATTTCTGCTATAAACTGTTACCTTGAGAGGTCTTTTGGCAATTTCATTGTCTTGGAATCAGAGATAGTAAATGTGTTTTTCCGACACATTTAGTTGTGGCTGCTCTGCTTTGCAAAATCTATAGATTTTCATAGTATTTCATCCTAAAGGATGAATTGTCATTTTGAAGTTATTACTTTTTATTTGTAGCCAGGTGTGGCCATGCATGCCTGTAATCTCAGCACTCAGGAGGCTGAGACAGGAGGATCATCGCAAGTTCGAGGCCAACTTGGGCTATACAGTGAGTTCAGGGCCAGTCTGAACTGTAAAGGGAGACCCTGCCTCAGAAAAAAAGAAAAACAAAAAACAACAATTAAAACAACCTTTTTCTTTGCAGATCACTCAGCTAATTAAAAAGGTGCCAAAAAAGCTGGCTTCTTGGTCCCAGTCAATCAAACTTTCATTACTTACAGAGACAAAAATTTTGTCATTTTCCTTAAGTTCAAACAGACCCCCTTGATAGATGGAGTACAGTCCGTACTCTGAATCTTTGGACCAACAACTATTTCTTGCACTCTTCATCAGCAGTATAGGTTCAGGATAGCTTGTTAATTTGTAAATATATTGTACCATTTGTTTGTTTCTCCTTTTGTTCTCTTCCTTTGAAACTTTTCCTGAAATTTCTTCGTCTTCTTGAAATCGAAAGTACGTTTGCGAATAGATGTAATAAAGCCCTGTTTGATGAATAACCAGTTCTCCATTCCTCAAGTGCAAATTATTCAGGAACGAATGTCCTTTCCTTGATGACTCCCAGTATTGTAGCTTGTGGCCCAAGGCCTTTTCATGCTTGGAGGCTGGATAAAGATTGGAAAAGGAAAGTTAACAGAAGAGAATTTGTAGCAAAGTAAGGAGTTCCTTGGCAGCTCTGTGCACAGCCTATATTTTTGGTCTTGTAATAGACTTCATTCTAATATTAAACTTCTTGCCCCTTCAATCTTACATGAATTATAAACTCTATTTATATAAAATCAGGAGGCTCCTGTATCTTTGTGAATTGCTGGGCATCCCTGGCCTTTCAGTACCACATGTACCAATTATGCCAATGCCTGCCACATTCAGCTCTGAATGGTAGCACATGGTACAGTCCATATGAGTGACAATTTTTAGCCCTGGGCAGAGCTTGTGTTCTTTACCCTATGCTTCCTTCCTGTGGTGGTGAAATAGAATGGAAATTCTAGAAGGAAAGCAAACAAAATATATATTTCCTTAGGCCTATATCTCAGGACTTTTTTGCTATTTCTATGGGACTTTTGAGTTCATACTTGGTCTTTCTCAGCTCTCCAGAGGCAAAGATTCCATTTGAATAGAAGGTATCTTTAGTGCAAAATAAGATGGGGACAAAGTTTGGCAAAGTAGCAACCTTAATTTAAGGATCCTCAGATCCTTGAATCTTAACTCCCAAACATTTTGAATGCAAAATGACCCTACACAAATATAATATTCTTTTAAACTTTGGGTTCAATTCCATGAGTGATACAAAATTTAGTTTTTCAAGGCTTTTGAACAGTGATCTTATTTGTTGATGAGCAGCAAAGAGTAATATTGCAATAATCATCTTGCTTTTGAGCAGAGAATGTCAATCATTTCTAAAACATATATTCAGGAACCCAAGAAATTGACTTTCTGTAAAAAACAAAAACAAACAAAACAAAAAAAGAGCCAGACAATAACCTTTTTACTTAACTGATACTTCTGAAATTTCTTTAACTTGGAACAAAATCTTTTATAATTATAAAGGGTTGACTAATTATTGAGTCCATATTTTAGAAAACCAGACAATTTGCATGAGCTACTGTTAATCTTCATCATTTTATGAGTTGATGATTATCCTACTTTGTATGTGAAGAAACTGAAGCTTGATTTGTTTAAATTGTTTGCTTTAAACATAAAAGGAGTGGTCAAAGTATACAATGAGCATTTACATTTATTATCATTATTATTATTATTATTATTATTATTATTATTTTGGTACTGGGGATTGAACTAGCATTTAAACTAAAAAAAGTTATTATTGTAAAAGTCACATCATTAATCCTCCTCAAAATATTCCTCTTCCTTTGAACACACTTGCCCCATTATCCCTATCACCCTGAAGCAGGTCTGGAAGTTGTCTTTTGTGAGTGTCTTTCTAAAGCATGATTTAAAAATGTGGTGAATGATGCTGCCCAAAGCAGAGGCAGGCTCGTAAAACCAAACTGCGGTGCCCTCAACCACTTACCCACCAGATCCGGCACCAGAAGACTTCTGGCTCTCTCCAGTGTCAAAATGACCAAGGTAAACATTTTGAATGGATTCAGGACATCAAGGAAGTCATGGCAGTGCAACTAAGAACAGCCAAAAAAGGATTCCAGAACTGTTTCATAAAGCAGCAAGAATAACAGCATCCATGTGTTCAAAGCAGGAGGGAGTATTTTGGGGGAAATGGAGGGCAGTGTGTCTTTTACTGTAATAAACGGCTTTCGAATTCACTGTATTTTCTGATCGCAGCACTCATGTAGGTAAAGAGGAGCTGGAGTTCCAACTTGAGCACCTACAGTCAGACTCATGTGCTGTACCGCAGTACTCTGTTGACGTCTGGTTCTACATACAAAAATTAGACTTGATGTATTTGGTGAAACGGACATCTTTGTAAGTGAAAAGCGGTCAAACGCTGGCAGTTTCCTGTGGTTTAACTTAATATAACAGCCAATAGGAGCTGCTAGTGGTTCATAGTGAAAGGAAATGATTTTTAAAACCTTTGAAGAGAAGATTTGATGCAAGTGCAGAAAAAGAAGAGTACTAAGTGACAGAACAAGTAATCGTGAGGGAGAGAGAAGGAATCTGAAGAAGAAAAAGTCATAATGAAAGCGCAGGACCCTTAAAGACAAAATTTTCCTACTTCATACTTTTCCTGAGGCCAGTTATGTTATGGCAGTAATTGAGCTATTTTTTCTGGAATTTTGCTTCTGAAAAATCAATCTGAGATGTGATTATTGCTGACCATTTTGTAGATAGCCACATAAATACTGCAGGTACAGGTTTAAATTCATAAATTCATTGCAACTATCCTTCCACTGGCTTCCTCTAAGTCATATTAAAAAACCAATGTTTTTCTTTTCACTGTTGGGGGTTGAACCCAATGGCTGTGCAGGTTGACCCAGGGCCCTGTCACAGACCTGTATTTCTGCCCCAAAGCAGACATTCACTGTTTCTCTTACCTAAATCTAAGGATCTGGTGCTTTTCTGCCTGTTCCCTGTTATGTGAGCTGCTGTTCTCTGAGGTCTTCTGTCTTTCTCTAGGGTAAAACCATTTTCTATTCTTTCTGAAAGAGAAATGATACAGCATTACCAGCACTTATTAAGCTAGGTTTCCAAATACATTGCTGTTCATAGCTGTTATCATGCAGGCATTGTAAACACACTGAATTTCCAGTTAATCCCATAAGTATTCAGAAAAACAGCCCATATATATATTTTATACCGGGGATCAAGCTTGGGTCCTTGCACTTGGGAGGCAGGTGGCAGTACCACTGAGCTAAATCCCCGGCCCCAAACAACCCATATTTGAACATGAAAATCAACTTCAATTATATTTAATTTTAAAAGTATGTTAGATGAAAAGATTAAGCCGGGACATGAATTAGAACATATCAGCATCTCAGAGGAAAGGTCCAAATAAAATATAAAAAAGTACAAATTCAGACTTCTTTAAAAAACAAAATAGAACAAAACAAAACAAAAACAAAAACTGTGGACTTGTAATAATCCTGCTGAGAGATATAATGTGTCCAAATAACCAGACATTGGCAAATTTCTACTTTGAGTTATATATAGAAAAAGTTGGAGTGGTACTAGTTTTTGTCATCTCAATCATGTTTTCTTTTTTTTTCCTTTTTTTTGCCAGTAGCTACTAGTGATTCCAAAGGAGTAGCAATGATAAAAATTGCTCATAGACTATAATCTGGTATTCAATAGTCTTTCCAAATCCTCTGTCCCAACACCAAAAAGAGATAGGAATGGACATACGGGCCACAATATTCAAAGTATAAGCATATAAATTATTGATTCACTAGGTCACAGTAAATAAGATTTCATTGACCACCATCCAGAGTACTTAGGGCAGCCTAAAAAGAAAAAAATAGAAATCCAATAAATTTCTGTCTAAAATATCAGCTCAAATTTCCCAAGTGCCCTTAAGTGGGTTATTAAAATAAATTATATTCTTTTATTAAATAAATATTACCGAGATACTATACTATGAAGTATAGGACTACACAGATTAATCTTTGATTCAGCAGGCCAAGCCCCTAGGACTTACAGTGCCCTTTGTGCGATAAGCATTAATCAATGAAAATTTATCTATGCTGAACAGAAATGAACGGTGACAGGCATACAGGGGAGGGAAGGATCTCTATTTATTGGAGAGCTGAGGTCAGGGGTGGGTTTGTGGAGGAGACGGTGCCAAGAATTTTTTCATTCACTTTCTCCAGTAAAGCAAAATACCCGTTACCTCTGCGCCTGGCACTCCTCTAGGTTAGGGACAAAGAGTCACAAGAAAATGTTAGGGGTGCAGAGATAAATGTCGGAACAGGATGAAAATGCGAGAAAAAGACCCTAAGAGCTGAACCAGCGGCCTGAGGCAGGAAGTATAAAGCATCCATGAGACGTGGGCCTAGGAGCTGTCCGGTCTCAGAGTTGAATGAAGAGCTGAAGTATAGAAGAGGTGATGTCAGGTTAAGAAGTTTGGACTTTGCAGGACACAGGGAGACTGAAAGGGGTTGTTCAGGGAGGTGTTGTGATTCGGGCTACCTGTCACATTAAAGTTTTGATGACCAGAAGATGAGAGGGCTGGAGACTAGCAGGAAGTTACCAGATGATTATAATCGATCAGAATGAGAACAATAGGCCTCACCTAGTCTGGTAGCAAAGGGAATTTGGAAAAAGAAGATGATAAAATTTCTTAGAGGAGGCATGAATAGAAGATGAAAAATTTCTCGCAACTCTCTGGTGTGAGCTGTAAATTATCCAGGATGGGTGAGCATTTACACCATACTGACGTCAGAAAGTAGCATGGAGATGCATAGTCAGTTGCGTGCCAGTTTCAGAACGCTCAGCTTTCAAGGTTGACGTGTCCATTTACCTTTAACCTGGACTGTTGCATAATTCATGGTGCCTTGCCTCACTCTCACCCTTAACACTTTAGGTATTCAGTAACTGAATTCAAGTTGCACTTGAGGTCATTGGAAGGGTATGGAAAAGCCTAGATTTGAAAGCAAATTTGAAAGAGAAAATTTCCTATTGGTTATGGAAAACAATTCACAGAAAAGAAACATGTATATGTGTATTTGGGTGTCATGGTTGCATCCTGATATCCAGAGTAGAACATAATTTGTACACCTTACAGGGGTGAATAAAAAAGAAAATGATTCTTTGACATGGAAAATAGTATGCATATCTACTGTGGGCAATAGCTCTGATATATCTTATCAGAACAAGTAGTGTGTTCAACATTCTCACTGGGGTTTTGATCTTAGGGGAAGCAAACATAAAGAATGTGTGGACCTCGCGAGCAGATCTTGCCTTCATATTTAATAAAGGAAAATAGAGGTTTTCAAGTGATGAACATGAAGAGATTAAAAACAGTTTCTTTCCTGCTACGTTTCTGGCATATGTATTCAGACTTGTATGACCATTAGCATGGGGAAATGGAATATGGTGAATTTTTTGGAAAGATATTTTATTCATTACAAAAATATAATTAAGAACCTTCCAGGTAGAGAAGTGGTATTGTTACATTATGAATGTACCAATTATATGGAATCATTCACTTTTATTTTATTTTATTTGTTTTTTTGTTTTTGTTTTTTGGTATTGGAATCGAACTCGGGTCCTTGCACTTGAGAGGCAGGCACTGGAACCACTGAACTAAATCCCTGGCCCTACACTTTTACTTTTTATGCACTTTTAAATGATTGATTATGTGATATGTGAATTTCACCTCAGCAACAGAATAGACATATATGGGCACGTGCGTGCACACATACAGAGAGAGAGAGAGAGAGAGGGAGAGTAGGACATGGGAGAAAAAGAACCTAGTAGGCCTGAGTCACAGAGTTAGACGCTGGGCATTAAGAGGTTAAAAAAAAAAAAGACATGCTTCCCATCTTTGAAGATCTTTGATTTCATAGAGAAGCAGAACGAATGTGTGTGTGTGTGTGTGTGTGTGTGTGTGTGTGTGTGCGTATTTATAGGTAAGTGTGATTGAAATACCAAGATTTAAGGAACTTATTTAGAAAGATGACCAGGAAAGGCCTCTGTGAAGGAAGAGGGGACAGTTAGGGGAGCCATAAAGGAGCAGGAGGAGCCAGGAACAGAAGAAGCCAGAAAGAGGCTGAAGAAACCAACTGAGGCAACTGTCCTGAAGGGGGTGTGGCTCGAGAGAAGGCCACCGTCCTGTATACAAAAGTAGGCACATGTGGAGACCACAGGCAGAAGATGACAAGTAGCCAGGAAAGTCGTTGAGGAAGGCATAATGCAGCAAAAAGTTTTTGTGTGAAAGAGGCAGCCTGGTTGTGGTCAGAAGAACAGAAGATGAGTCATTTTGGGGGATTTTATCAGTTTTATTTCTACAAAAGAGTCCAAGTGGCTTATGTATAGCACATTAGGTTAAAAAAATAAATAAGTGAGGAAATAGAGGTAAAGGAAAAATTCATATGGAAAAGTAAAATTAAGAAGAAATGAAGTTCGACCATGGGTGTTGTCACAGATTCAGTTCTGAGCTTTCCAGCAGCCAGCGCAGAGCTTCAGCGGAATCAGCAAGCAGCTTGAGACACCAAACAGCAGGTCAGAGGCAGGATGCATGGATGGAAGCAGAGAGGAGAATAGAGCACTATTCAGCCTCTTACGAAGTTAACACAACAAGTTAAATAACAAAAAATTACTACCTTGAGATGCAGGAATGGTTTCCGGAAAGTGTGTCAAAATCATCTGCAAATAGTATTGAACAAAGCTGGTTAGTGTCCTTAAACATTTTTAACTGAGTACAGAAAGTCTATGGCTCTTCTTGCTCAGACCAAGCAGGACATCTCTACATAAGGCATCCATGGAGGGAGCTTGAAGTTGTTTAAGCATAAGGTTTGTATAGAGGGAGGGAGCAGGGTGAATGTTGAATAACTGCCTTCGAACAATGATTAAAGAACCAGACATACTCTTCCTGGGAACATTCGGAATCTGGATAAAGCCTTTGAAAGGTCTCAATATGGAACAGTGCAAGAGGAAGGAGACATCTGACAAGTTAGGTCAGCCTAATGTCCCCAGGTTACCATGGGGCCAGCAAAGGTGGCAGTCATAGTGCATTGCTATCTCCGCGCATGCTTGTGTGTGTGCAAGAATGCCGTGTATCAGAGCCCACATTTGAAATATGGACAGACCCAAGCCTTATGATAAAAAGCACACCTGTCTCTTACGATGCCCACAGACACAAAGCCCACCAAGCTATGGCTGGGCAGCACTGAGGATGGGGCTGAGGCATTTGTGCTCGTGGGAAGGATATGACATCAAGTTCCTACACCCTTGCTAACCATTTGGTGAATTTCCCCAAACCAGCAAAAAAGTGAAAACTAAGCCTTTCTGGAAAATGAACTTTTTAATAGCTTTTTTTGTATGGAGTCTCATTATGTAGCACAGCCTGCCCCCAACCTCACAAGTCTTGCCTCAGACTCCCAAGTACTAGGCCTACAGTTATCCCCATGACACCCAGCATCCGTGGCTTCTGAACTCCCTTTGCTCAGCTCTGTTACTCCTGAGTGCTCGAGCTGTCCTTATCCTCCTTTCCCTGTCATTGTTGTTCATGTTGCAGCTGCCAGAACTTGGGTTCTCTTGCTCCCAAACAAGCTGTGTTCTCCCACAAGCCCTGACCTAGGAGGGGACTGACTGGAGTCTGTGTGAAGGGCTATGGTGTGGAAAAGGAGAGCAAGAGCGAGAGGGACTGTGAGCGGCCTCCCCCCACCCAATTCTCTGTCGGTCTCTTGGTCTTCCCCATTCTTGCTCTTTCCTTCTCTCATTTTGGGACCGAAAGGAAGGAAGGGAGCGGAGCAGGGGAAGGAGAGAAAGGTCATTCTTCATTCTTTTTGCTGTGTTAGAAGCAGCACGAAGGGAGATGACGAGCAGGCTCAGAGAGTCTGGAGTCTCGTCTTTCCATTCCTAGCTTCGTGGGACAGCTCAAGCTACTTAGCTGATCTGAATTTCCACTTCCTCATTAATTTAATAGCATATGTATAAAGGTAACAATGCTGTTTCCAGGATTTGATGAGATCATATACAAAAATTGAAGTAGGGTGTTTAGGGAATAGACTATTTAACTGACGTGCCTGAGCACAATGGAAAATTCTTGTTTCCTCTCGTCCAGCCCCTCCACGTCCTCTCCTGGATTCTCTCTACTCTAGTTGGTGTCTGGATGTGATGATGGGAGGGAGAGAGAGAACTGCAGGAAAATGATACGCTACTCCTCTGATCTCCCAGCATGCAACCAGCTCTTGGACTGCAGATTTCTGCCCCAGTTCTGAGGGCAGTTTTCCCTGCAGCTGGGTCACTTCCCCAACCTCTGACGCCCGGAACTTCAGGGTTTCACTTCTGAGGGTCTTCAGAAAACCCCCATTCTGGGCTTTTCCTGTTTCTCATGTCCCGAGCAATCACAGCCGCTTCAGTACAGCTGTGTGCAGTGGGTTTCCCAGGTCCACGTCATGTTTCCAGGGAAGTCAGGGAACAGGTGTGTTCCTGGGATGCCAAAGAGGAAATGCAATTTCGTTTGCATAGAAACAGCATCACAGGTCATGTCCAGACCTGTGAGGACTCACAGTCGTGTACCAGAATTCTATAACTATAATAAAACACTGCTTCTAAGGGGAAAGTAAGTACCAAATAATAGATTTAACAAACAAGTCTAAAACACACCCTCCTCTCACCCTGGAAGATCCCCCAGTGTATCCTTAGACAATGTTAGTATACACAGGGCTTTTTAATACTCTTTTTAAACAGAGTATTTTTAACATCCGTGTTCTCATCTGACCTTTCAGGAAGGCTAAAGACAAACATTTCTGAATGCCATCTTACAAAGGAGGGATCTGCCAGAGAAGATATTAAATTGACCTATCACATTGCTCAGAGTAAATTCAGTTAACCACATTAGTAAAATTAACTGTTAGCTAACACAGTGCTTTTGCTAGAGATCCTGTTCCAGCAACTTCCATAAATAGATAATTTTATAATTATGCACTGACTATGAATAAAAATATCATCACCTTTTACTTCTTAAAGTATCTCTTTTCCTCCATTTGTCATTTCTGTATGCATACAAAACAATAAATAAATATATATTTAGTTTTGGTTATCAACAATATGGGAAGAAGATAAAACATCACTATTCGGCTTATTTTATCTTCTGAAAGTAAAAACAACCCATATCTTATTACTTTGTGACCGTGAATACCTGGCCCTGCCTCTGCCTCAGTTCACACCAAGTGCAATAAAAAGGTTAGACCAGAGAAGGAGGCTCTTTGGGGTGGAAGAGTAAGTGCTAGACCAGGGGTCAGCCAGGATCTGCTGTTTTTCCTAGCTTTATGAATTTGGGGAAAATCATTTAAATGCACTGGGCCTCATTTTCCTCATTTGCACAATCTAGACTTTTTGCACAATGCACAATCTAGACTTGATGATCTTAAAGGTTCCTTGTCTTCTGACCTTTTATGCCTGCTTCTGCAGTTACCTACCTTTCTAACGAACTGACGTAGTTGCCACTTGACTTGCCAGCAGGGACTGTTCATACTGTCTTCATCATGAAGATCCCAAGAACTATCGTCTTCCTTTAAGAAACACTCAATGCCACTTTTGAAGTACTTGTCCTGCATCTGGGGTGAGATGGAATATAGCACAATATTACGCACAAAAGTTTTTTTTAACCATCTGGAAGTTAAAACAACAGAAATTGATGATGGATTTGGGGAATTTTATACCTTGGATAAGCTCATGCTTTAAATGAAGTAGGCAGGTTGTCCTTTGCCTTTTGAGTAAAGTTGAATATGGTGAGATGGATGCAAGGGGGGGTGATACCATTATTAGTTCTTTGGATAGCAACATTTGAACCACTTTTACCAGTAGAAATCTGTGTGACGCCTCATTAAATGCCCACACCAGCCAGATACCTACCTGCAGAGACTTTAAACATCATGTGAATGTTTGCTTCCTCCTTCTGATTGAGGAAGAAGGATCATAGACTACAAAGTCCGCTCCTTTGTCAACAAGTCCTTGCTTGATGTTATAAACACACACATACTACCTATAACACTTCAGGCTGTTATCACAGTTAAGAAAAACAGAAAGATCCCACAGGCCAAGAGTTTTTCCTTTTCTTTCCCATTAAATTTTGTTTTACTAATAATCTATCAAGTCTTGAGTTGCTTTTATCTGGGGGAAATAGATGAGATAATTTTGCCTGTTATTTGAAGGTAAGGTACTGCACAGTTTAGTAAAGGGCTCAAACTTAAAGGTGATCCATTCCTGCTTACAGAAAAATAATCTCATTTTAAATAAAAACAACCTTGCTCTTGATGAAAAGTCTTGGCAAGACTCATGCAGTCCTGTGTATGTAGCCATGAGTCCCTTGAACTTTTGATCAAGATGCCTTGAGTGCAAAAGTGTAAACCTGGGTTCGTGAGTGTTCCATGTACCCTAGTATTTATTTACTTTAAAACAAATGAGTCTTGATTTTCAGTCTTCCTTTTTAAAATGACAAGAGTAGCACATTCCCCTGAGAGATGTGGTTGAGGGCAGCTGGACCCACTTGCACTGAGCCGTGACTCACCATGGAATTGGATGGCACGTGCCTCTGCCCACTCCAAGAGATTCTACTACAGACAGATAGTTGTCTGTCCAATTTACTTACAGCTGAAAAGCCTTTCCAAGGAAGTTTAGGTTCAGATGGTTCAAAAATAGGAGAGCATTTCCAGCAAACTGAGTAAGAGGAAACAGAGAAGACAGGAAGAGCTGCAATCACTAACATGTTTCCAAGAAGAGAAAATTTTCTTGGCTCTATTCCCAATCAGCCAGTATGAAGAAGCTGATTAAACCAAACGGGCAGGCTCACTAACCCCTGTCACATTTTGGGACACAAAGGTGTACATAGCAGAGAAGAGGGGTTCCAGGAACTGAAAAATATCCCACCAGGAAAGTTTTAAGAGCCTTTAGGCTAAGGTCGTGGACAGAAGTGGTTGAAGTAACTGCCGCTGGGGTCAGGCAGTCCCGTCTACAACCTGACACAGGAGGTAGGCAAACAATTTCACTCCTTTATTGCTCAAAACTTGATAAAGACTGGGTGCATTCAGGATACACAGACAACAAGGAAAACATGAGAAAGTAAATTACACTTTTTAAAAACAGTAAAACAACAATTCTGAAATCTAAAAAAAAAGCAAAGCAAAAAACAAACAAACAAAAGCAAAATAAAAATCAGTTCATGGAAAGCATGAAACACACAATCCAGTCCCACCTCCTTGTTAACCTTTGGATAAGCTCTTTTATTCACAGGGTAGAGATCAGACACTGCAATTTGGTGAATGGCTATTTTCTCTTAAGACTGTATGCAAATGTCATATTCTTTAAATCTGTATAAAAGGCATACATGTTAGCATAGTTTTATTATAGTCACAGTAGAAAATTCATAAAACATAAAGAAAAAAAAAGGCACCCATTATGTTGCTACCTAGAGATCATAGTCTTGATATTTTGATGTTTTTCTTTTTAGACATTTTTATGCATAAATACTGATTTCTGACCAAAAGAAGCCTGAAGAGGAAGCCTCAGTCATTCTCATTAGCTCTCATGTTACCTTCATCTTCATTATAAGGATACTTGGCAGTTTGTTCTGCAGACTCTGGCCAGTGCTGACTGAATATGTGGGAATTGCATGTTGTGGTTATTCCAAGAGTGATAAATGATGACTAATGTGATGTGTCTCTCCCTGTTCTTTTCCACATCCTTTTTCTCTCAGAACATCACAAACTGGGGCTATGGTCTAGCTAACCACATGTGAGTGCTAGCAGTAGGCAGGTGTGAGAGTGCTATTCTCATTTGCACACCTCTGGGAGGAGAGTCAGCTCTTGCAAGGGAAATCTGCTCTTCAACTCCATAAGTCCTTTGTTCTGAGAAATGGGTTTGGTCTCATTGGAATAGGCCCAGTCCGACTTGTCTGGTGGAGTTTGAGGTTACTAAAAGAGACTCCTTTGCTGGCACAGATTTTGAGATTGCAGCACTGATCCTCTCTGCTGCCCAAACATTAGTCTCTGACAATCACTTGCTTCAAACCACAAACAGCATGAAGGATTACTGAGGGGGGAATCTGTGGAGAGGGCTCTACTCTCCTCTATGTTAGCTCATCTGTAAAACATGGATGGATGGGGAGCAGGGGAGTAGGGTATCCAAAGTTTCTCCCAGCTCTCAGTTCTCTACAATATATGATTAGGCAAAGTCAGGCATGGAGGTGCCTTTCTGTAATCCCAGCATTCAGAGGCTAAGGCAGGAAAATCACTGTGAGTTTGAGGCCAGCCTGGGCTACATAATGAAACCCTAGGTCTAAAATAGAATATACACAAATGTATATATGTATATATTTGCATATATATGATTAATCAAAGAAATTTAAATCTTCAAGTATTGCATTCATAGTTTCAGAAGCTCTGCACAGTCGAGAAGTAAGTACATACAGTAAAATGATAGTAAGTTTTTTGCTTTGTATTTCTACTTGGACTAATTCCTAGGTATAAAATGGCATGAACAGGAAAATGCTGAATCTATCTGATAGCTTCTTTTTTAGGAACTGTATCCAGGACATGTCTGTGTCCAAGGAGCAAGCAGAAGACCAGTTCATTGTGTTCTCGATTGTTATCGTTAATACAGGAAGACACAATTTGAAAACCACATTCCATGGATCTGGCTTCTTCCTCCCCACCCCTAGTCTTGGAGGAAGGAGATTTTGACATTCTAAGCCTTGGTTCTGCTTTTAGTTTGGATGCATATTATTCTACCTGCTCGTTTTTGAAAGCCTGACATAGCTATGTGAAAGCTTTTACCAACTAATTTAAAATATTTAAAAGAAAGGAGTGGGAGAGAGAAGCTGGCACGAAGTCTGAGCACAAATAGGAAGGTTTCTGTTAGTGCAGGGTCCAAGTCTGACGTTTCTGCTGGGTCTGTCTAAAATCCACTGAGATTAGGCACATCTACGGGGTAACGCCGCAGAGCTCAGTGGGTTAGCACCTGGCTCGATGCAGGTATATTAGTGGCACCTTTCACACTTGTTCACACATTCTGAAAGTACTCAGTGAACTCTTTCTATCTGAGAGCCACAATGCACAACCCCAGAAGTGTTACCATGAGCAGACACAGCCCCTGCTCTGATCAGCTACCCTTACCCACAGGAATTCACTAGTCAAGACCTACAAAGCATTAGGTAGAAAGCATTCATGAGTGGTAGCAATTACTAATATTATAAAATATGTAACTATTAAAGACAAAAAAACTAACAAAATTCCCCGGGATTTTTGTTGGCTGCATCTGTTAGTAACTAGTAGAGCAAGTTCTGCAAGTGCATTTGGTTCACACAATCTTTTGAACTCACACTTTTAAAAAGTTCTCAGTATTTATGTGCATTAGCAGTCAGAGTTTGCCAAAGAAAATGAACATGCTTTTTTTTTTTCAGTAAAGTTTTCAAAGAGAAACAAGCTGAAAAGCTGATAGTCAGGAAACCCAACAGTTGCTAAGATTGCATTATACTGACCTGTTTCAGTTCGTTGGTGAAGTACACATAAGTCACAGCCACACAGAGGGACTGCAGGAGGACTGTGAAGATCAGAATCAGCACACAGGTCTGCCCGGGGCTGGGGCCTCCAAGGGTCTGCACAGAGGACATGATCCTGTCAGAGTCTGACTGCCCCAGTCCAACCAGGCTCTAGTTTTGTGGCAGACTACAGATCAGCAGATAGCACAGAGGGAAGGAGTGCTTTTTGTTAGTTTCACTTCTGCAGAGGAAAGGGCTTGTGGGAAGCAAGACAAGGGGAGGACCAAAGTGGTTTTGCTGCCTGCCTCCCAACAGCAAGGTCCTGAGTTTGATCCCCAGTACCAAAAAAAAAAAAAAAAAAAA